TTTTTTTATATTTTATTCATATAAAATATAAAAGATATATAAATAGACAGATAGATAGATAGATAGGTAGGTAGGTAGTTCATATATCAACTCATTCTCATTCTACATAATGCATAAGTAACCTTTGTAGTAGTGGGACCTCTGGCTTTCCTATGACATTTAGGCTGGCAGAGACTCACAGACCAATCCCCTTCACTCTGACATTTAATGGTAACTCACAAGAACCAATCAACAGCGATGATCAGTGCGATGTCCTCTGTGGGCAGTCCCACAGATGTCAATACGATCACCATGGTAACCAAGCCAGCCTGAGGGATACCTGCTGCTCCGATGCTGGCAGCCGTTGCTGTGATACTGTGTGAGTAGTGGGAGGGATAAAAAGACATTTAGGGCAGAGAAACAAAATAACAGCTCATGTTACAAAATTAAGCAAAGTACAAAATTAAGTTCAAGTAAAAGTATCAGTTAGATACATAGATGGATGGATGGATGATGGATGGATGGATATATGGATATATATGGATATATATGGATATATATACAGTATATATGGATAGATACTTTATTTATCCCAAAGGGAAATTAAGGAAATTGACTGCAGACTGCTACTTATACATTAGTGGGGATGTTTTGATTTCTGAACACAAAATCCTGCACAGGAGTTGATGATCCCTCCATTACTGTAGTTTTTAAAGTAGCTATACTCAATTACTTGACGAAGGTAGTGACTGCTAATTAATTCTGATAAGGTTAGCTGATGTAACTGAAGAAAAACTGACACCTACCTTAATATGGGAGCTTTTATTGTAGTCTGCTCTTTCAGTCATTTTTTGACCTTTTACCATAAATAAGTATCATTGATATACTGTATTATAGCTCGCTGTCAGGTTAACAGTAGAGGATAATAATATCAGGTCTAAAAACATCATGGTTGGCATACCTAACAGTAAGAATCTGGCCAAAGTGCAGGTCCATGTTGTTGACTTGAGCGATGAAGATGGCCGCTACGGCTTCGTAAAGAGCGGTGCCATCCATGTTAATTGTGGCTCCTACAGGGAGGACGAAGCGAGTCACTCTTTTGTCCACATGGTTGTTTTCCTCTAAGCAGCGAAATGTGATGGGCAGAGTAGCAGAACTGGAGAAGTGAAATTATTATTATTACACAAAACAGTGTATTAAAAGTATAGTTACTTTGTCTTGAAAAAAATGATACAAGTAAAAGACAACTTAAATATGGATTTAACATTTGTCAAACAGAACATGACAACATTCACTCAATGAAAGGACAGAAAGGATCATTTTGACATAAATCTGTGTTTACAGCTATAAATAAGACTCACCTTGAGGACGTTCCCAGAGCGGTAACCAGTGCCTGCAGTAGACCACCGATGAACAGAAAGGGATTCTTTCTGGTCACCACGAAGTAGAGCAGGGGCAGGACAAACATTCCGTGGATGAGGAGACCAACAATAACTGAAATGGTGTACATCCCCAGCTGACCGCCCATCTTCGCCAGGTTCTCCATCTCCACTATCTTTCCTGCAATCAGGAACATGATGCCCACTGGAGCGTACCTGGAAGAGTTATAGGTTATAGTAAACTAATGCACAAGGACAAGCCAAGAGAAGGGCAAAAAAAAAGTAGGGTAACAAAGATCAAATACTCCAAAAACAAAGGGAAGGTCATTTACTCTTTAAAACCTGACTGACCAGATTATGATGGCCACCAGCCTCATGATGGCTTCATTCAGGCAGTCAAAGAAGTCCCTGAGAGCCTGGCCCTGTTGCTTCATGTTACCAATCACCAAGCCAAAACACATGGAGAAGACAACAAGACCCAGAGCATTCACTCCATTCGATGACCCGGCCACAGGAACTGTTTCCTCCACTGTCTCCTGTCAGAAGAAGAAGGGCCCTTGTTTATAATGCCTGTTCATAATGCTTGTAAATAACGCTTGGACTGGCTGAAGTGGACAATGTAATGACACATAGAAGCGGGCAGATGTATGTTTCTTGTATTCAGACTGCCACTTACTGTTTATATGGTGTGGATTGAGTCACCTGACTAAATATGACTTCTGGGAAACATCCACACGTGGACTTGAGTCCTAACGTTGGACGGATGTTGGTGGCTGCTGGGCTGACTCCAGTCTGACTACAGTGAATGGAGTTTTCTACTCGTTTGTTCTGCGAGCACACTTTTGTCTAATCATTCTATGGAATTTGTCACATGTGTTTTTCAAGACTTGTGATGTCTTGTGATTTTTCTTTTGTGTAATGAATTAGTTGCTCATTGGTTCCCTGTGACATCCATAAATCAGTAGACCACTGTTCCAGCATATCACAGTTCACTTCCTCAGTACTACAACTTTGGATAATAGTATGTACGCAAATCACACAAAGAACTTAACCAACAAAAACAACTGCATGACCAAAGTGATAGATTCACTTTGTCTATATCACATGTGTCAAACTCAGGCCCGGGGGCCAGATCTGGCCCGCATTGAATTATATTTGGCCCGCAAGACCAAATCAAATGTCTTGGCCTGCCAGTATTTACCCCTTATATACTGGCAGAATTTGTAGTATTAGCAGTGTATGCATTATGTATGTTATAGCACATTCATTGTATTTTTTTGTTGTTGTTGGCCTGTGAAAAAAAGATTTACATTAAAAATTAACTGGAAAGGCTACAGATAAAGAGATAAAGGAACAAAAACCACTGATGTGTGTTTTATTTCAAATTTAATTTCTCATGTGTTGGTTGTTCCAGATTCAGTGTTTACGCAAAACTATATGATAAAATTCTACATTACAGACCTGGAGAGAAGGGAAACATGAATTGCTGTCATGAATTGCAATGATTGCTGTCAAATTTTTCAGTAAATATTAACACCGCTCGTCTATATTATTATTCCATATACGGTGTACTGCATATTCAAAAAATGCATTAAGGACAACAGCATGTTTTCTGTCTTTTCTTGGCATAATGTGTGTGCCTCTCACCTGTACATGACGCAGAACTCTGCTGAGGTTCTCTCCCAGGTGAGAGTCTGTCACATTGACGTGGTCGGTGATGTTCACAGTCACTGTTATGTTCCTGGTATGAACGATCTTCTTGTAAAACGTTTTATACTGCAAGAAAAATAATAAATATGCACAAAAGTTGGCGTCCCAAAAAAGTCTATTTTTTTCTGAATTTTAACAACAAATGTGGACTTAGCTAAGTATTTTAAGGCAAATGAGTGTATTTTTAGTCATTTTTTAGAAACTTTTACACACCTGCTTGAAGGACGCCTCCACCAAATTAGGAGGAAACATGTTTCTGCAGAAAAAAAAATAAAAAAATAAACAACAATAAAGAGCTCCAAAACAATAATAAGATATTTACCTAATATTTCTTCAATAAAAGTACATTTTTATAATAATTATAAGCTCAGTTATTCAGAGTATTTTGATCTGGTTTAGCAAGTTACCTAAAATAATAAAAAAAATACTTAGCTATACTATGTATATTTCTGAAAATACTGCATGTTGTGCATGCTCTCTCCTACTGTTGTTGTTACCTGATGAGATCCAGAAAAGCGTCAGCAGCCTGTACAGTTTCCAGGTTTTGATTGTTGTTTACGGGACTATCTCTGTTGCCTTTTCCCGGCTGAATGATTATCACAATCACAATTCCAATGAACACAGCGATCAGGGTGGTCACCATATAGTAAACCACCGCACGGACGCCCATTTTACCTGAGGCTCTGCTATCCAAAGAAGAAATACCTGAAATAGAGGAAAGCTATTTTTAACTTTATTTTTAGCACAACTCACAGTTAAATTTTAAATTTCATGACACCATAACCAAACAAACATACTCTTTGTTAATCAAACTCACACACATGCTCTAATACATTCATGTGCACAGTATTTAGAAGATTGTTCAAACAATGCTTTCACAAAGATCAATTTTTACATAGATAAAACAATGCACACAAAGATCAATTTTTACATAGATAAACATCACATTCATACTTCACATTCCTTTGCCTTAAGAATAGCACAAATGTTTCTGATATGGTCGACAGAGACTAGCTCGTGTCCTGTTGCTGCATTCAGTGTTGCCATGGTGAACAGTATGAGCTGTGACATGAAAACACATTTGAGTTAAGCTCCTCCCTCCCCAGTTTTAAACTGTGTCTATCTCAGTAAATGATTAATTTTATTATCTATTATGTAAATATGACAATGTTGAGACTTTTGATAACACCATTAACTGCAATGTGATTAAAAACATTTTAACAGTGCTTTTACTTTAAAATAATACTGTTCAAGTATTAATTGTAAAAATACACTTGTTACATTCTTCAAAAGCTTGAATATTTTTTCCAGCCATTCTCTTCATGAAAGATTTTAGGAAACACATTTAAGAGTATAAATATAGCATGAGTATAAGTTTAAAATGTGAATTTCATCCATATCCCTGGAAGCCTTGGCCTGATTGAAAAAGAAAAAACAAAAGAACAGAACTGCTACTCTTCTACTCAAACGTACTTATATGTAAATACTAAGCATAAAGTACTTAGAACTGTGTATTTTGCATGGCCAACCTGTCACCAGACTGGAAATGATGAGCGGCAGCACAAGCATCTGTAGCATCCTCATCAGGAGTTCGCCAGGAAAAGAGAAGTATTTGATCTCCCTCAGAGTCAGGCGATGAGGACGGACAGCGAAGCCCAGGATCACACCTGCATGTACACACACACACAGAGTCAGATCAAGTCTATTACCAGCAGAGAAAACCAAAAGGTCGAAGTGACTGGACTCACCCAGAGCCACTGCAGCCACAGTGAAGAGAACAAACAGATTCCTCTTGAGAAAACCTTTGACTCTGCTCCTGCTCATGGAACTCATCCTGTCCTTCATGCTGCTGGCTTTCTTCTCCATCACTCGATGCAGCCGCCTCCTCAAGTCTCCTTTCTCGGGCGAAGGTGGTTTGTCCACGTCCTCGTTCAGGAAAAGACTGGTACTTGCTGGGGGTTTCTCGTTCATAATCAACTCCAGCACTTGGTCCAGGAGGCAGGTCTCGTGGGAAACTAGGTCAGGAGAGGAGAGAGGAGAGTCAACAGAGAGAGAGAGGATTTGTCAAGACTGTAGGACTACACGGAGTCTTTATTAAATAACTACTGAGAATGTTAAGGCACACTGACATGACGTAGAAATGAGAGAGAAATTAGTTCTGAGGAGCTGTCTGGAACGTTTTAGAGGAAAATTCACACTGAACAGATGACAACTGATACATTTAAATAAGTTACAATTTTAACAAATTCAAATAAAACATTTTTAAAAGCAACTGTTTTACATGTAAGGGCAATTCCCTGCATATGTACCTTTCATTCAAATGCCCATGTAAATATTGCACCGTAACTTTAAAAAATATTTTTATATAGTAAAAAAAAAACATTCTCACTAAAAGATATCCAATGTTATATTATTCAAAATTAATTCTAGAGAGAACATTTTTAAATAGTCTAATATTTTGAAAACGTTACCTTTAAAAAAGATTTTTGATGACTTTCTTCAGCACTAACAATGAGGTAACTACAGCTGTGACTTTAAACGTAGGCTATAATTAAACAATGACATGATGTGAGGACAACACAGTGACAACAAATCATCATCCCATAAACTGTGAGTGACAAGGCAGGGATTTCATTAGGACCATGATTCTACTATGATCTGAAAAAACCTTTTCACTAACTGACCATGTAGTTAATGAATGACCGTGTTCTCTGACTCTGTTCTGTGTTCGTACATGCAACAGAATGTGGAGAGTCGCTCAACTGAAATCATTACTTCAACACCACCACCGTTAAGTATTCATACCCAGTCAAACTATCCAAAAATACTCTTTAGCTGCTCTGCTCTTACCTTGCTTCCTCACTGTTGCCAACACAGAACTGTCCGTGAGCAGTTAGTCTCACTTCTTCTTATCTGTGTCTGAGCTAAACTGTTTCCTCTCAGTCCCGCTCTGCAAACACGCTTGAAAAAACGCGGGCTATGAGAAAATAATAAATGGCCAGCTCCTCATCCACTTTACTGTTTAAAAAATCGACCTGATCTCCAACTACTTCAGCTTTTTTTCCCTTCTTGTTCTTTTTCTTTCCCCTTGGGGGAACAGCATGTCACCAGATCTTCTAAGAGTTCGTCCATTCTGTGTTCTTCACTGACTCACTTTATCGATTCTCTTTTGTCTATTGTTTTGCAATAACCATCACATCTACCTAGTAAAAAAAGGCCCATTGTTGAGCAGGCTGCGGTTTGACCCTGGATATTTATGGTCATTATTTAGCTGTGTGTCAGAAGCAGAATAGTTATCTCTCTCTCTCTCTCTCTCGGCACTGCCTTCAGTCACTCACTCACTACTTTTTCACTACCTTTATGAGAACCTAGTGTCAGTGTCTAATCTAATAGAGGAAGTAACATTTGTTTGTCACTTGTTGTCATCTGACACTGGTAAATGGATGTTGTCAGTTCAGGTTAGATTTGTGTTCCACCATTACTCTGACAAAGTCCAGGTATTACATCATACAGGAAATACAACTGTGTACAACCATGTGGTTGCGTGGGTATGACAGTTGGGGGAAAAAAACTAAGAGATTTTGCAATTTCAGATCGTTGTTTGTTTAAATTTCAAAATTCAGGAAGCTGTTTACACTACCTGTCTGCTTCTTCTTCAACAGAGACGATCCACACATTGTTGCCTCCATCACTAGGAAAACATTTTCTCAATCTGTTGCATTGTTGCCTTCTTTTCTTTGATGTTATTCCTTCTCTCTGTAGGACTTTAATCTATTGATTTATAACACCAACTGCCACCGAGTTCAGCTAATTACTTTTGCTTACTTTGTCCACACTGACCCCCCAGATTCTCTCTTTGCAGATCAAAGCCCTTTGTACTTGACATTTTAACAGATACTATGGGGCTTTTGTCATGAGTAAAGGTTTCGGTCTGACTTTGTCATTTGTTTCTCTATGCATTTATAACCAGCTCAAGCTTGACAACTGTGACAAACTAAAAAACTAAATGAATGATTTAATACAAATAAAGAAATAAATACACGGATATAAAATTAAAATAAAAATGTTTAAACTTGAATGTACACATGAATGTGATAGAATAGTGCTATTTTTACTACTAGATGAGTGCATATCAGTGTGAGCTAATATGCAGATATACAAGATCACATCAGTCATTAGTTTCAAAGCAAGATTCTACGTAAAACATACAAATCCTAATTGTACAGGTGTTTGTTTTTACCAATTGCAGTCCATGTTTACTAGTACCTGCAATTTTCATTTATTCATTTTAATAATCTGAAACTGATGATAACAACAGTGAATACTCAGTATGAATCCTCCATGTTTTCTCATTTTTAACATTAGTCAGAAAGTTCATCCATCCGACCATCAACTCATCATCCATCCAACCATCTTTCTGTACCTTCATCCATCCACCTATCTGTCCATCATCTCTCTATAAAGCACAAGTCTAAACCTGTTAGGACATTGCTTTGCCGACTGAGTGGGTAAACAACTTTCAAATGTTATTTCTCTAGTTTGTAGTTTGTTTTTGTAATTTATTTTTAAACAGCTTAAAACTTAAAACTGATCATTGTGGACAATACATGAGAATGTGTGACAGAAAGAGAGGAGTGAGAAACAGAGTCATCACTAAAGAGCAACGTGAGAAAGTCAACATGAAATATTATCTTTTAATATACTGTATCTGTACAACAATAAATTATGTTTACCTGTTGATAATTGTATATAATAAGTTTAGGCACTGATGTTTACGCTTAGCCAAAGTACTGAACTCAACCTGCACCTGATGGAGCAGTCAACACTCGCTGTCTGACAACACAGATATCTAGCACCACCAGAGAGCAAAGATTTAATCATTAACCTAAATGAAAGAAAGTCATGTCCATACAAATACTCAGCTACATTGAACCTGACATGGACCACAGACACTATGGAATAAATCAATATAAACTTGTGTTAAAACCACAGCTCTGGTCTAAAATTACACCTAGCCTCTTTAGATCAGGGGAATGCAGTGTGCAGGCACAGCGGAGTTCACACCACAGCAGAAGCCACTTCAAACTCATGTGTTAGAACATACCGGGACAACAGTTACATCAGCATCATTTAAACTTGCACAAAGTTTTGGAGAATTTCATCCAGTGTACCAGGTTACATAACAATCCTAAAGACTTTACTTGAGTAACTATGAGGTTACAGTGCTTTTCATACTGCCACAGTAATACTACATAATACTACAATACTACAGTGTTGCTCACTGTTACTCACCGCTCATGGTTTACAGCTGGTCTCTAACTGTCCAGTCAAAATCAGGTTAAAACACCACAGGTGTGTAAGAGCAGGATAATGCCAGGTCTGCTCTCAACTGCAGACAGATATGAAGAGGCTTTTCATACGCCCTGACCTTCTGACAACTCCTAACACACCCACACAAAATCCCCCCCTCCACCCCCCAACACACATGCACACACAGATATAGACAAACACCAACCCCCCCCCCCCCTTTTGTGTTCTGTGAGCACCTTACATTGACATTACACATTTCCCAGCCCACGGCCTCAGATAAACTATTAGAAACATACATCTAATCCTAATCCTCACTTTAATGCTAATCTGATCCCAGTTAATCTTTACTTTAAACTCAATTTTGAACCTCAAATAACTGTCTCATTCAGTGGGGCCCACTAAGTGTCCCCCACAGCCAGAGCACTTTCAAAAAAAAGAAGAGTTGACGTAGACACTTGATCCCGTAGCGTACCTTACACGTAACTTACATAAAATTAGAATTAACTTAACTTACGTATTTTTTTACTTTTCTCTCTTTTTTTCCGATTTGTTTTCTTTCTTTAGCATGCACCACGCTCATATTTATCGACAATTTCATGCTTTATTTCCATGGTCATCATGCGTTTCTTCTTCTCACTACCATCCTTACCACTCACTCACTTAGGACTCATCACTATTATGAAGAATAATGCAAAAATTGAGATAAAATCACATAGATAACGCAAACACAATACGGAAGAGATGCGTACGGAAGTCGACGAACACGTGAAGTGAACGAGTGAAGCAGCGTGGGCTGCTCCGAGTGCTCGGCCACCTCGCGTTAGCGTCTGTAAGCGGACTCGTATCTCGAAGCATAAATTGCTCAAAGCTTGCTCGTATCTCAATATGTCAAAACGCTCGTATCTCAAGGTTTTACTGTGTCTGTTAAAGGAATACCAGTGTCAGGACAACGGTTAATCTCTTTCAAATCGTAGTTGCCCAACAAAGCATCCTGCAGACCTGTACCAAAAAACGTAGTGCTGATTACAGTCAGTATCAGTCTGCTCACCATCTTTTTTACCCTTACATGCCGCCCACAACTGACTCCTCATTTATAAAAGGTGCAAACAAGCAATCTGTGCTGGTGCAGTTTTACACTGCCACAGTTGTAGGAGAAAATAGAATCATAGGTAACAATAACAACAAGGCCTTTGGGCTTTAGTTTAGGGGAGACACAAGATATAGGTAAACAAGAGTTGTGATGGATGGATAGATGGATGGACAAACAGAGAAATATAGTCACTAGCTAAAACACAACATTAATTAAAGAATCACATATAGAAAAATATAACGTCTGATACCCTGTTGGTGCCTTTGAATGATTCAGCTCCTCATGAAGAAACGTCTCCTCTCCTCGTCACACTGCCTTTCTTTCTGAAGACGCTGCCAAAACGAGAATTAAAAAACTTCACCATCTTAAGCTCAACTTTTCAGGCACAAATCATATCTGAACTGGAGAGCGTAAAAACCACAAAGGCAGTTTTGCAGCTTTAACATTACACCATCCACCATCACCATTAACTGAATTGTAATCAACATTCCACAGTAAATCTTAACTCACCTGTGTTTAAATCTCAGACGTTCCGTGCGTCCTCCTGTGGATGTCCTCCTCTCCACTACGCAGCTGATAGTGAACTAGTGTTGCCCACACACCGCATCTCCACACATTAAATTGTAGTCCACTTCTGTGTATTTATTTATTTATTTATTACAGTACTATCTAGCGTTTTGAGCTGGTCTATGAAGCCTGCGGCTGAGGGAACCGTGGGGATGAGCGTGGGAGGAGCACAGGTTAAAGAACCTCCAAGAGAGAGAGAGAGAGAGAAGGGGGGGGGGGGGGGGCACGGAGAACCACCGCGGTCCCGGCACCCCCATGAAGCATGCATTAGTGAAGTACTGTCAGGCTCATGAACTCACCTCCAACTGCAGTTCTCAATGATAAGGAAACGTCAGATAGTAGAATAGATTCTATGTTGGCAATATTCCTACACCATGAAAAATGAAGCCACAGCTTCCATGTTGAACCGCCTCCTGCAGGAGCTCACACTCAGCTTAAACACACTCTATTCATTGCTATGACAACATGCATCTACTCATGGCTCAGGTTTGCTCTGAACCACTCTGGGGAACTCATGGATTTGTAACCCTTTGGCATCTTTCTGCCCAGCTCTTCCTCACTTACACCTACTCATCATGTGCATATTACATTGATATGCATCCAACTTAGCACGAACTTGAAAAAGAAAGAAATACGCCGGTGAATATTTTGTTAAATAAACACTTGTGTACCATGGAGAGAAAGTGGAAGAATCCAGATAAACTGGGAGAGTTTGTAAATCAAATTCTAGTTGTGTATAAGAACTCGATGTATCTGGTTTCAGAAAGTGACAGTATAAATACTTAAGTCTTTATATTGCTGTTGTTTGATATTTTGAAATGTATACCTCATAACATGATGTAAGTTTTGCTTAATAATTGTGACGTGACTACCCGATAAGTGACGGCTGTTGTTGAACTGAGTTTCCACTGAACGACCCTCCTGCCAGTCACACGTGAGGTTCACCAATCCACACATTTCAACAAATCTGGATTCACAATCTGGAGAAATGTCAAATTTGTGAAACTAGCAAAGAGACATGTTAGATTATAAATCACCTCGGGTGAAAGGTGGGTGACACCCTGAACAGATCAGTGGTTCATTATCATCAGGGCCACATACAGAGACAGACCGCAAATACAGCCATAACATTACCATATCTTTGACTGGAAAGTGACCAGAATAAACAGTATTTTCAACAGACCGTGACTCAGCCCTGTAATCAGATCAATTCTTATTAAAAGAAACTGTTTCCTGTCATTCAGATCAAAGTCCCACAGCTGCTGCTAACTAGACCATGGTGAGTGTTTCAGTCTGCTTCCAAAGTGAAAGTTAAACAAGGAAAGACATTTTTTAGTAACGAGAATGAATGGGTGTTCATCTGCAAGTCACAGGCTTCACTATTGGCCTTCAACAGCCATTTATCTACTCAACACTGAAGATGGATTCACAAAGGTTACAATCTGCTGTAGGACCAAAGTGATGCAAGAGAGGATGCATCACCATGGTAACATAATTATCCTGCCATACGTAGGAGGCATGGATCATGTAGGATCCACACTTAGGGACTGTAAATATTCTCCAGTCTGCACAAAAGAATGTTAATCAGTTAATCAGTTGTGGATTGTCATGATTGATTGTTGAACATGAATTTGTATTCTGTTGGGTTTTTTTTAGATTTGTTTGGTTATTGGAAATGTTTGGGTTAAAAAATTGTTCAGCATTGATTAAATTATAACATATGGCGCCACCTACAATCAAATTGGCACTTTCACGGCTTCCACTTAAGGCTGTCCAATAGTTACCTAGCAACGTGGAATGTGTTAGTGTTGTGGAATTGGTGAGAGGATTTTGGTCTGTGAACACTTCATTGTCTTATTACACCCATAATGATATGATGATGCTCAGGCAAGTGGACTGAAGCCTGCTTCCTTCTGTCTCACATACACATACTACCATGTATTTTGATAGTGAAGAGTGGATGGACATACATCCAAAACACTGTGTACATTGTATGTGTACATAAAACCTCCCTGGATATGAGGATTTCTTTAAATATGTTGGATGATTTAAAACAAAATTTGTCCTGGGCATCATTATTTTTATTTTACATTTTTTCCTGGAAAATATACACATTCGCTATAATTCAAATATAGTCCATAGCAAGGGGTTGAAATTTAAAATGTAAACCAAGTAGTGGAGCAACACACATACATACATACATACACATACACACACACACACACACGCACGCACGCGCGCACACACACACACACACACACACAGTAGCTTCATCAATTATTTCTCATAGGGGAGGTTTATTTTAGCACTGTGTTGTTGACCTCTCCATTGGTCTGACATGCTCACCTGGTATTTTAAGAACAAATATGTCAATACTCAGCAAGTCTAGCTCAACAGCCTTTGTCCTGAAAAGACACAAAGCTCATAGTTATCATTAGGCATTATTTGAGAAAAGTTCAAATTGGCACGTTCATTTTAAAAAAGCAGTCTTCTTGAGAAAGATAATTTGCAATCCTGATTTTGTTTTAAAAATTACAAAACAAGTGTATAATAAAATCAGCAACTACTTAGAAAACATGGTTCTCATTTTCTCCCCTTGTTTTGCTGGGCCTTTTATTATTTTGTTTAATAATGGACTGCTTTATTCCTCATGTTCTCATGCAACAACAGTGATCGCTTACAGGCACATATTTAGGAGATGAAAGTGGAAAAAGCCTTCCATCAAAATGCCTTTGGTGACCAGAGAAAGGTCAGAGAATAGATTATTTGCTTTGAAATGTCAGATGTTTGCTTCATAACTGAGAACATGAAACTATGGCGAGTGATATTAAAATACCCTGCACAGTGGGGACGAGGTTAAAATACAGTTAAAGGTGTGGCTTTAATAAAAAATATATTTTCACTAAAATCAGAATCTTGATGAATAGTTGTTGACTTAAGCAAAAATCTAAAAAATAAAGGATCCAACAAAAACTCACAAATTAATGAAAAAACAATCTTTCTTTTCAGCCTTGTGTAATCTTGTTTTTTATTACTTTTAAAAAAAACATTATTATTATTTTCTCCTCTCCAAACATTACATTCAGAATATTTACCTTGTTAGTGGTGGATAATATTTTTAAACGTAAACAATATGAAAAGGAGAAAAGTGTCTTAATCAAACATAACTGAAATCAATATTTTTAACACAATTTGTGAGAATGTGTGAATGTTTTGAAAGTTGTATTTAGTGGTTTTTAACACTGCAGGAATGTTGTCTCTTTATATCTATCGTACACTGTTCGTGTAGCATGATGCTGTGTCTACAGTGTTACTTCTGTGTGAGCAGAAATGTTTATTTATTTTTATATTTAACTTGTTTGTTATCTTATGGTGGTTTTATGACGATTCATTTGTTTAAAAAGTGCCCTTTGCTCTGTGCTGTGATATGCAGTTTCAAATGAAGAGAATTCAACTTTTCTACATGTAGACGACACAGTAAACTACTGAATTACATGGAACAGAAATGCATCATCAATGCGATCATAATTGTAAAATATTGCAGTATGTTTTAAAAAAATATTGTAATACATACATTTTTTATCAAGTGTGATAAAAAACTATGAAATAATCTGTGGCAAATGCTAATGATATTGTGCGTCTTGAAACTCTTGCATTGATTAAACAATCAGCAAATGTTATAAGGCTTACAAATAATAATATGTTGTTCTCTTAACTGAAAAAATGAGTTGTTTGTAGAAAAGGGAAATATTATTTAATGGTACAGCGTGTGGGACTTGACAGCACCTAGTGGTGAAATGATGAGCTGAGGTTGTTGTCTGTGGACCTACGGTCATACAAAACAACTCGATCGTACACAGTGCACCATTAATTCATAAAATTCTGTTAAAAAAAAAAAGGAGCAGTGACGGTATAAAGAAGTCTGATGTATGTTTGCTGTTTGTTACATTTGGGTATAGAGAATGTAGAGTTGTAGAAGTTCAAGTGAAAAGAAGTAGCCTTTACCCAATGACAGAGTGTGAGAAATGACATGCGCAGCATTTAAATTTTTCGACTTAACACTTTTTGTCTTTGGTGTGTTGTGGTAGTTTCACATTAACCTGGTTATAAGGCCACAGCGTCTCTGTCATCTGGATTTGTGGGATCCCACTACATCGATGTTCAGTCCTTTGTGCAGAATAGTGCAGCACCACTGTTTGGGTTAGTGGCTCATGGATTGTTTGACAGCTTTCTCCAGAGACTTTCTGGTCACCAGTAGTCTCACCACATCCTCCTTTTTCTTTGTCAATCTTTTGCGAGCCTGGTCGTGGGTCACCATAGTCATATCCCAGCCGTTCACCTGGGACAAAAAAGTCATTCGGCTTAGGAACATCTTAGCCCATTTGATCAAAACGACTACGTTTGTATACAGACAACAATATGATCATAGGTCCAGCTGCTCCGATCTCTTTTGTGAACACTTAGTGCCCTCTGGTGGACTTAGACCAATACTCCATCATAGCACATACCTGCAGAATTTTGTCTCCCATCACCAAGCCAGCGACATCTGCTGGTCCGCCTGGTGTTATCCTGGTCACATAGATACCCTGAAGACAACACAAGTACAGTAAAATAACACATGTAATATTTAAAGGATTGTATAACATCTATTTGAGTATCACTGCCAAATCTACTTCAAAGAGCGATGTTCCATAATCATAATTCTAATCATAGCTGTTATTACCATAGTTATAATACTAATAACAGGGCTGGGACTGCATTACTTTGTCTGTCTTGTCCTCAGAGAAAGGATTCTGTCCAGGATCCTGGTCTATGCCTCCACCGATGCTAAAGCCCAGGATCAGATGATCTCCCTGTCGCAATTTCTGGATTTCAATTCTTTGCTGTTAAAACAAAGAAAGAAAATTAAGACATGTCTTTTTAATTACTAATGAGCATGTTAAATGAAGTTCAACTGAGAAAAGTCAGAAAAAGATTCTATCCTGGGTTTTGATTCTGTTTTAAAGCCACTAATACAGTACATAAGAAACGTGCATTGTTGTCATTAGAAAAAAAAATACTAATATAAACTGACTGTAATTCAATGAGTTTAATTGATTTTAATTTAATTTTAATTCTGTGCAAGTACAACTGGTAAATAACTTGTTTTTCATTTGAGAGGATTCATCCAATCTTGATACTGTATATTTTACTACATTTCAGCAGAAGACAAATTCTAGCTTTGGGATTCTACTCTCTAGTGACTAAAGCTCAAATGAAGACTTGGTTCAATGACAATGACAAGCAGCTGTAGACCCTTGAAACACAGATGGATGTACGGTTCTGGCACGAGGACTCATTACAACACCCACTAGTACAAAGGCTGCCTGTGTGTGGTGATGAATACGCAGCAAGTCCCTCTGCAGTGTGGTGGACTAAATGATGAGTGCCGATGTTTGGAACGGTAGGGCCTCCATTAGACACTCACTCAGGACTTTCAGGCCCAGAACGAAATTTCTCTATCCCAGGGAAAGTGTGAGAGACAGTTTTAGCCACTGCAAGCATCATACATGCTTCTTTAGTATAATTACATACCAACACAGATTTAATATTTAATAAATCGTCAATCCAGAGTTAAATCATAACAGGTAGACTTCTCTTACTGACTTATGCATCTCTGGTCTTGGATTAGAGATAATTTGAGATCAATTCACAAGTATGCTCACATTCAGCTTTTTACATTTTTAAGGGAAATCAGAAAATACTTACTTGATATTATGGTGGAAACAATAAAAAGTGGTCTAAAATTAATCACAGAAGGTAATAAAGACAGTGAGACTGGTTACATATGTTGACATGGTGCATTAGCAATTAGCAAATTTAAGGATTACATGGTACAACTGGAGGACAGTATCTGCTTATCAATGACAACGCCAATACTCCATTAAAAACAAAGGAAGGCCCCAGCGAGATTTGAACTCGCGACCCCTGGTTTACAAGACCAGTGCTCTAACCCCTGAGCTATGGAGCCCACGGATTTTGCACGGAAAATGTCGGAATTTCCCAAAACTGTCCTATATACACTCACCGGCCACTTTATTAGGTACACCATGCTAGTAACGGTTGGACCCCTTTTTCCTTCAGAACTGCCTCAATTCTTCGTGGCATAGATTCAACAAGGTGCTGGAAGCATTCCTCAGAGAGTTTGGTCCATATTGACATGATGGCATCACACAGTTGCCGCAGATTTGTCAGCTGCACATCCATGATGCGAATCTCTCGTTCCACCACATCCCAAAGATGCTTTATTGGATTGAGATCTGGTGACTGTGGAGGCCATTTGAGTACAGTGAACTCATTGTCATGTTCAAGAAACCAGTCTGAGATGATTCCAGCTTTATGACATGGCGCATTATCCTGCTGAAAGTAGCAATCAGAAGATATTCCCCACACCATTACACCACCACCACCCGCCTGAACCGTTGATACAAGGCAGGATGGATCCATGCTTTCATGTTGTCGACGCCAAATTCTGAGCCTACCATCCGAATGTCGCAGCAGAAATCGAGACTCATCAGACCAGGCAACGTTTTTCCAATCTTCTATTGTCCAATTTCGATGAGCTTGTGCAAATTGTAGCCTCAGTTTCCTGTTCTTAGCTGAAAGGAGTGGCACCCGGTGTGGTCTTCTGCTGCTGTAGCCCATCTGCCTCAAAGTTCGACGTACTGTGCGTTCAGAGATGCTCTTCTGCCTACCTTGGTTGTAACGGGTGGTTATTTGAGTCACTGTTGCCTTTCTATCAGCTCGAACCAGTCTGGCCATTCTCCTCTGACCTCTGGCATCAACAAGGCATTTCCGCCCACAGAACTGCCGCTCACTGGATATTTTTTCTTTTTCGGACCATTCTCTGTAAACCCTAGAGATGGTTGTGCGTGAAAATCCCAGTAGATCAGCAGTTTCTGAAATACTCAGACCAGCCCTTCTGGCACCAACAACCATGCCACGTTCAAAGTCACTCAAATCACCTTTCTTCCCCATACTGATGCTCGGTTTGAACTGCAGGAGATTGTCTTGACCATGTCTACATGCCTAAATGCACTGAGTTGCCGCCATGTGATTGGCTGATTAGAAATTAAGTGTTAACGAGCAGTTGGACAGGTGTACCTAATAAAGTGACCGGTGAGTGTAGTTAGTATAGTTATAAGTAAACCATTTTAAAATAGAAAGCAATATTGCTGCAAGGAAAACATCTGTAAAAGCTCCTGAATAATCAGGCTGTTAAACTTGCTTTCATTTTTTTGCAAGTCACTTCAACATTATATAAAAAAGAAGAAACACAAAACAAGACAGTACTAGAAACTCTGTTGGCTGCTAGCATGTTACTTCGTATGCATCCTACAGATGCCTCGCCCTATTTAAGTCTTTGGACAGCTGCTATACGATAGATACATTACTCATAGCCTCTCCAAAGGACCAGGAAGAATCACAGCGGTGACGCCCATTCGACTATTTTGTTAAATTTGCTAAAATTGTAGTCCCTTGTTAATTTAAAAAGACAATTGACCAATAATATATAGCTAATGTTAACTAACTCGACTTGGACAGCTGTGAAAAAGCAAGGTTAATGCTCACCACGCCAAACAATAGTGTCTAGCTAAGTAGGAACACTCCGCTCTCTCCCAAACTTACCGCAACAGCAGTCATGGGCTGCCCCGGAATGTACGACATGGCGTTACCGTATTATCGAACTCAACAATAAAACGCAGAAACTCTCACAAACAATAACATAAAGTAAAAGTAAAGGATTCAACGGCTGGTAGAACTTCCCTGTTCTTCACATGAGTAGCGCCGGGCTGATCCCTGGGTAAAACCAACGACTTTCTGCGTGACGTCACTGACTCTTCCAGCCCAAACAAGTTTGCATGTTTTGTTTTTCCAGGGCAACCGACGAGGGCGGTGTTTACCTGTGAGCCATCGCCCAATGACTGAAGTGAACACGTCTGAACAACTCTGCATGTTCCCGTCAAGGAAGTGGGACAATCTACAGTAGAACTATCTATAAAGAGCATGCATTAGTAAAAGTGGTAACAGAAAACAAATTAAATCAAAAGATACTAAATATAAATATTTAGTGGACAAGCCTACTAAGATTTAAGAATATATTTATTTCTTTTTAAATGATTCCCCTACGCCACATTTAAACAGTTACTCTAAGCATTCTAGCTTTACTCAGTATGCTTATTCTGACATCACACTGTTTCTTTCATTCATCATCAAAATCAGTTGTGTTCTCATTTCCTAAATAACAACCTTCAAATGTTAGGCATTACAGGTATAGATCTAGTGTTACTATTCATTGTTTAAGGTTTTCTTTCAATTTGTCCTTTCTACTTGTAACTTTCTACTTGGAAGCAGTGAAAAGATACTTAAAATAAAATTATTTTCTTTTTAATTTCTTAATATTGACATTTTTATTGTTTTTTTTTTACTATGCAATGGTTTCCAGTGAAAGTGAGCTAAAGTCATAGGAGAAAAAAAAACATGTTCTTCTACATTCTTGGACAGAATTGCTAAAACAAATTAAAAAGATAGATAAGTCCTCTTTGCAGTGTTAAAAGTCTCAAATGGCAAGTCTGGCCTCTTAATGTGTTATAAAACATTATTATGCATCACCATTTCTGAGGTACTGGCATGTTATGTTAGTTATAGGAAGTAAAGAAGGAAATATGTGGGAGGAAAAACAAGAACAGGTTTTATGATTTATTCAGAAAGAGTATTCAAAATAGTTTACCATGTAAAAATGAAATGTCTGTGTACAGTGACATGACTGATGTGCAAACAATGAAACACAAACCAGATATTAATTTAATTTCTATCCAATGTCTGTTATTTCTCTTACTCTGTATTACAACTTTCCCCAATTTTATGCTGCAATGGAGCCAAGTATTGTATAATTAATCAAACATATCTGGAAATCCTGCACTGCAGAGAATTATCTCACTTCGTATCATTGGAAATGTTTTTTGTTTTTTGTTTTTTGTGCAAAGTGATGTTTAAGAAGTGTTTTGTTGTTTTTGTTTGTTTTTTGTTTTTTGTATTCTGCAGCTTTTTCTTTTTATGGTTGTGGGGGAGCTACAGATAAAAATAACTTTTTGACACACCTGAACACAATATTTCCAATGACAATGTAGTGATGTAATGATGTCAGAAAATGCTGTCTACAAAAACTAGTAACTTTCACACACATTTAAAATATCAACTGGAGAAACAAGTTCAACCAAGATCTGCTTTTTGTTTTTTTGCTTCAACTTCTATGTTGTCTGCCTTTTACAGATGATAGACCTGCTGTGGTGCATTCAAAGCAGAGTCATTTCTGATTTACCTATCATCTAACTTCTGACAGTTGGCTCATTCTTACTAAACACGTATGTGTGTAAACATTTGGCATGATTTAAATGTACAGAAAACGTAGAGAACTTCATCAGAGTACTTAGTACAAAACACAAAACCTGTTAATATGTCTTACAGCCTTAAGTTTTTCTGTATCCTGGGGCAAAGGGAGGAGGTGTCAGGTACTCGTAAGGTGTGACTCCATCTGATAATGTCACATCAGGGGGATCACAGTAAACTGTTGCTCCCCCTGTGCTCAACTCACCTGTGATCTCCTGGTACTCATTAACGTCCTGTGTCTCTGCTATCTCTGCGTATGTATGCTCCAGTGATGGGTTTCTTTTTATGAACTTCTTCTTCAGGTTCTTCAGATTGAATGACACCCAGGGCCTCATATCGTCGCTCTTTGTAGATTGATCCATGGCTCTGGATATGGAGGGACTTCCAGGTGCAGAGCCGGTCCTGAAATAGGTCTGGTTATCCTCTGTTGAAGGTATGTAGTTCCGAGCTGGGATTTCAGGAGGCTGATTGGCTGGAGGATATTTGGCACTGGAGTTGTTCCAACTCCTTGACACAGACTTCAAAAAGAGGAGAGAGTAGACATACGGATCATAAGGACTCTGTGTATTTTATCAAGGATGTTCTGAATATGTGTTAATTGTACAGCAGAATAATGCTTCAGTTTTAAAATCATTACCACGGGTGAAACCTCTTCTTCCAAGGACGGGTACAGTCTGTTTTCATTGCTGCTTGGATGTAGAGCTGCAGAGTTGACCACAGTCTGCTGTCGATAAGGGAGTGGAGGTGGCACCTCCTCCTCTGATTGGTTGTTTGTCCACTTTGGCTGTATTGGGTTGCTTGGTGGCAAAAGGTCATTGGATTTCTGATGTCTTTTGTTGAAAACAAGCTCTGCATAGTTGATCCTGTCATCTAAAGACTGACATGAAAAAAAAATAGAAAATGGTTTTCATATGGATCATTTGCTAACTCAATAATAATCATTCTAATTTGAACTATGAATGCATGCATGCACAATACAAACAGGCAAATACTGAAAAGTTTTCAAAGATTCTTAAAGACTTCAATTTAAGAGAGATTCACAAAAGATAAAATAAAAAATATATATAAATATTTGTCAGTGAGTAAGTAAGTTAGGTGAATAAATTTTATTTCCTCACTTGTTTACAGGCAACTGTCAACACCTCATTGAAAGGCATGATGGGAGTTTTACGATGAAAGTCTATGAGGTCCTGCAGGAACCGGTGGGGCATAGTCTCCCCGACTATGACGTAATGGCCGCCCTCCAGTATGTCAATCATAAAATGTCTGCAGCGGTCGCTGGCTCTGAGTGAAGAGATTAACAGAACTTTAACTATAAGAGTGACTGAAATGATGAAATGACAAATTCAACATCATCTGTTAAACACTCACCGATAAGACAGAGTGTAACCAACCCTGCTCTCACTAACTCTGATGAGGAAGTAACCCGGAGGCTTGATCTTTAGTAGTTCCTCTGCCATCCTGCACAATGAACAGAGTGTATTGTGATGCTGTATTCACTATTATTTAGCATTTAACACAGCATTTTTCAACCTTGGGGTTGTACCTGGAATTCAAACGGGGTCATCTAAAATATCTCATAATTGATGATAAATATTACTCCTAAATTGTATTTTTCAACTAATTATTATGCTTTTAAAACTATGATTAAAACACCACACACAATCTTGAACAACTGTCTTTCACTTTTATGAATATAACTTGAATTCAAATAAAATGCAGCACATGAAAATATCTGAGCTGGTGCATCTTGATTGATGGCTGTGATCACCTGGCTGCACAAGTGACAGTCAGTGAAATGTCTCTGAAATCTCACCAGAAATTTGTCAAAGTCAAAATGGGGTCACAAGGTGAAAAGGTTGTGAACTAGTGCTTTAACACTAACAATACGTTCTCCATACACCCTGTACTGTACTGCTGTAACAGCCTGTGTACTTTATATATCTGCTCCTGCTCTCTCTTTCTTTCCTCCCCCATTCTCTCTTTTCTCTTTTCTCTGAGGGAGACAGTTGACCACTGAGTCTGGATTTGCCAGAGATTTCTTCCTGATAAAAGGCAGTTGGTTTTATTCTTCCCACTGTTGACAAAAAGCTGCTGTGTTCTAGTTTAGTTTTTCTAACAGTATTTATGAAACAGATTCTACTTTACTTTGTAATGTTAATATTAACACATGTAACATATAATATATGACACTGACTGTACACAGTATACAGACAGTATTCATTCATTTCCTGCCGGTAAAGAGGATATTTTAATATTCATTTGAATTCTAATTTGAAATGAAAGAGGATATTTTTAATATTCATTTGAATTCTAATTTGAAAGCTGTAACGTCCTTTGACTAAAATTGACTTTACTGTTTTTGGTTGGTATTTAGTGAGTCTTAAGTTTAAGAAATGTAGGTTACAAGCTGCTTACATCTGGACTTGATTTTTGAGATGTTTGTGTGATGACCTCATACTAAATTTAATTACTTCCAAAAACCTGACACAACTGCACAGCTCAGTAAAACATAATCAAATAATCACTTCATGGCACGATTCTTCTTCTTTTTGTTTTTCACTAAACACACACACCACATTGGACTTACTTTCTGGATATGACGCCATGAAACCATTCTGGGATGATACCTTTTCTGATGATGGAGTTAATGTGGGATTGTGTGAACCAGCTTAAAGTCTGTTGTTCTTCTAACGACTGACTCCTGTCCATTGTCTCAGAAAACGTTGTGTTCAATCCGTGTCACCTATAGAAAAAAATTTAAAAATCTAGGAAAGTAAAATTCACACAACATAATTAAGATGGTTCAATGATAAGTAAGGTGTGGATGGAAAAGTTCAATACTGTGATGGACTTTTCATGACTTTTTTGACAATAGTAAAGTGAAAAAATATATCATATATATATATATGTGTGTGTGTGTGTAGTTTTTAGTTTGAAAAATGGCTAAGAATGAGCTAACCAATACTAACAGAGTATTGGCCACAACAACAGGTGAGGAAAACGTAATGGAAATCTGATGGAACTGATAAAGATGTGTTAGAGTTCCTGTAGGTATTTTGAATCTACCACTAATTACTTTGTCTGGCATTCGTCAGGGAATCTAAAAGTACGAGATGAAAACTACTTCTATACTGATTACCTGTAGCTCACAGAAGAAGAAAACTCACCTGCAGTCTGCCTTGTTGCCGTGCACTGAAATGTCACAGCCAAACTCACTTACCTGACACTGAGTGACAATGGGTGGGGACAAAAACATGTCCCCGCCTTCACACATTAGGAAACAACACCTACAGCAACAGGCAACGACAATATTTCTAACAGCAGAGAACCCACTGTCTAAATGTATTTTAGTGCTGTCTAGACATTATCATAAGTCGGTACTGAGGTATCCATTTACAAAGAACATGTAAATATATCTAAAAATAATACAGTACATCAACAGTGCCCACATCTTTAGCCTCAGGAGCTGCTATTCAAATGACCAGGCTATAATGATTTACCTACATTGAAAAACATATATTTACACATTTAAACTGAACACATTTTAAAATACACATTACATGTTGGGTGTACTGGTTAAATTTATGGCACAATGTGATGCAACCGTGACAACCACATAGATATTAGAGAAATGTACCATCAATACTTTGGCATCTCACCTTTTTTGGTCCCAAAGAGGCAAATGATAATGGATCTGGAAGAAACCAATGGACCGTCAATGTATGTGTGTGTGTATATATATATATATATATAGTAAATAATATATAAGTGTATATATACATACATTTTTTTATAATATTAGGATTTTACATTCAGAATGGTTTGTACCACACGTTGATACTGAAACCTGGAAATTGACAGTCTCATGAGGAAGTGGCTGCTGGTAATCTGCTTCTCTCCTGCTTCTCTAATATTTAGGTCACAACGTGTTACATTTATTCATGAGGCTGTTATGAGCGAATGGACACCAGTACAAAACAATGTAGGAAGGTAAAACAACTCCACAATATATGTTTTTTGAAAATTAAACTGAATTTACAGTGTACAGTATGTCCCACATGAACTCATGTGTGCGTTGTCTCTGTGTATGTTAAGCAGCGATTAAGGAAGTCAGTCTTTTTTGTCACGCGCTAATATGCAAAAGCTAATGCTGCATGAAAATCACATTCAGCAGCCACAGCAGGCCTTTATCTGATGTTACCGAGTAACAGGAATAGTCTTAACATTCAGGTTTGACCTGATGTGGTGCGAACTGCACTGACTGCACACTTTACTGAATACTTCCACAACTGGTCTTTAAAAGGCATGTACATCTATAATAGGGCTTCACTGTTGACTGACTGACTACATGCAAGGCTTTCTTTGTTTTGTTTTGTATAAGACCGAAGCACCTGCAGATGACAAAAGCTGACAAACCAAACTTTGTCATATTT